CCCCCCCCCCCGCTGAGTGAAAGATGAAACTTGCATTGATTCAGTGGACTGTTTGATGTGAACTGCCAGGTTAGGCTAAAGTTTATTTTTATGCTACATATTAGCCAGCGTGGCGTAGTGGTTTGAGCATTGGGCGATGACTCTGGAGATCAGGGTTCAATTCCCTGCTCACCCATGAAAACCAGTGGGTGGCCTTGGGCAAGTAACACAATTAATTACTTTGGAGGGTTTGTATCAAGTTATGCAAGCAATTACTTTTAAAAGTAACTTTCTAAGCTCTGATAAGAACTAACCTATGATTTAAATGGATATCTATCTTGGTCAGCCTGAATTTCCAGAACCAGCAGGGGATACAATGCCTCTGAAAGCTTATAAGAAGGGCATGATGTGGCTACCATCTTCTATTAGCTTGTTGCAGCAGGACTGAAGAACTTTTGGCCTTCCAGAAGTTTTGGACTTTTATTCCCCAAAGACACATCTAGCAAGGTTAATGAAATACATTATATGAAATGTAATCCAAAACAGAAGACCTAAATATTTTAAAGGCACAAGATCCTGTCCAATTTTGAAAACTAAGCAGGGTCAGGACTGGTTACTACTTGGACAGGGAACTGTCAAGGAATAACAGATGTTATAAGCTATGCTTCAGAGGAAGGCAATGCAGAGCACCTCTGAGTATTCCTTCTCATAGAAAACTCTTTGCAATTCATGGGGGTCACTATAAATTAACAAGCAATGTGAAGGCACATACACACACAATCCCAAGCATCTGAAGGCCTGAATTTTCCCCAGTCTTGTTTTAACAGATGTGAAGTATCAAAGGTATCCTGCCTCTGAGCATTTAGTTCACCTGACTGAAAGGCATTGACTTGTGCTCCACTTTCAGGCTCAAATAAACCACTCAGCAGCAGAAAACATCAATGGAGATTTGTAGGAGTTTAAGGGAATACTAAGAACGAGATCAGTTAAATGAAGGTGCTATTACAAGGAGTTGAAAAGGCAAATAGGCAGAAGATAAAATACTAACATTAGCCTAGATTGTGCAAGAATGAATCTTTCTCTATCCCTGCCTGCACAAGTCTCTCTTGTGAAAAGACACCCTTTCAGTCTCCTTTGGCTTTTGTTTTTTTCCTTCTGCAACCTTACTCTGGAGGAAAACAAAGAGGCAATGTTTTATCACAAAGAGCTTCACCTGCTAGTATACATTACATACATTTAAAAAAAAAGAAAAAAAGTTACGTTGTAAACAGATTAAACAATTAATCCTCCTCAGCAATGGAATCCAAACAGGAACACCTGTAAAAGGGAGATGATCTGTTGTCACAGGAGCATAAAGGCAGTGATGTCTTAATTGAAAACATGAGAGGTAAGAAATGTAAATGTATAATTAAGGTGCCTTTGGATAGGAGACTCATGAGTCTTCCTTCTGCAAATGGACAGAAAGCACCTGAAATTTCTGACTTGTTGTACTGAAAATGTACTCATATGGAAAGCAAAAGACAGCACACATGTTTTGCAACTGTGCCATATGGCTAAGAAATGCAGCTGGGATACAAAGGCAGCTAATTAGCTTATGAAAATGGAGACTGGCTAGATGATGAAGTCAATTAACAACAACAACAACAACAAAACTCACCACCCTTTCCATTTACAATTTTTAAAGGGCTTTCCATGTTCAGCCAAGCTACAAAATATCAAGAAAGTGGCTGCTTTTAAAAGCCACATCCTTAACAGGTGTAATGGACAATATGGATGCAGTATGTTCTCTTATGCAGTGATTGTTTCTACCATCACCATTGCCTTTGAGCTGAATGACTGTCAGCGTCAAGAGCGGTAGCACTAAAGAACAGCTCTGTCAGTTCATTGAGACAGTAATGTGGAGCTCAGGAAGTTCAAGGTGTTGTAAGTATTACTAGAACCTAACTAGCAACTCATACCATGGATGTAGAATGATAGAAGGGACTGCCTGAGAAGCACAGATGATATCTCAGAAATTTCCCTTGCCTAAATTTTCAATAGGCTTATACATTTATAAATTAAGGAGTGTGCCTTTATTCACACATCTTCTGGGACCTATGCATTTTGGATCACAAATGATACTTATGCTTTGTCCCTCTCTTGCAACCAATTGGCTGCCTGCAACCCAGAAAATATCAACATTATTGTTGCTGTTGTTTTTATCTTCATTATTTGCATTTATATTTTCCTTTTCTCCAGATGGGCTCAATGAAGAAAGTATAGATGGATTTCTTTTCCACTTTTATCCTCACCACAATTCTATGAGGTACTATAGACGAGCCAGAGCAACAAGAACAGTTAAATAATTCAAGTATTGTATTTGTTAAACAATTTGAGTGTAATATGCAAGATATTTCTTCTTCAGTCTTCTGGGAGATATTTATTTATTAATGTACATCATACAAAGCAGAACCATGTCACACAGTGGTTTGAGTGTTGGAGTATAACTCTGAAGACCAGCCATGAAACCCACTGCATGACTTTTGGGCAAGTTACACTTTCTAAGCCTCAGAGGAAGGCAGCGGGAAAATGAACAAATCTTGCCAAGGAAATCCCATGATAGCTTCACTTTAGAGTCTTCATAAGTGAAAACAACTTGAAGGCACACAACACACACAAGAAACTAATATTAGGAGTCTAGGAACAGTAGAAATGCCATAGTTAGCTATATTTAAATGAAGGTGAAGAATTTATAAATCTCTCCTGACTGGTAAAATGCAGGGAAGAGCTATCCTAAGTCTCAGATCTAGTTTGTTGTTAGCAGAACCTCTGAGAGAAATTTTTCAAGGGATAACATGATTGCTTTTAGGCCCTGGGAGGGTGAGGGAGGCTCTTCTAAAAATGGAGGATTTAAAGTCCAAATGGATGTTAAATCTGCAATTAGGTCTTTTCAGCAAAGATAATGGTATAACATGAAAATGAAAAGCTGCAGTTTTTCCTTCTTTGTAAAAAAATATGCTTATGATAAAATATGAACAGACAACTTTTGGTGTATGATTCTGAAAGCATAATTGAACATGATGGCTAATCTCCAGCTATCTGAATATCACCATGGGTAAACTTCCATAAATTCTTTGTTCCCTGTGCACAGAATGACCTGAAAGACATTGTAAACATATGTTATATAATGAAATGTGGGTCTTCCTGGTTTCAATGTCAATGTGAGCTGTGATCAAAAGCCAGACTTCAGAAGTCTAAGTGAATGCATTCCATTTTATGGGGTCAAATTATTCATTCATTTCAAGGAATAAAAATACGTTGGATGCAATACACAGAAGAGTTCTATAAAAGGAATGACAACTTGAAGGACACATGGAATGAAGAACCATTTGAAGATGAATCCCAAATTCTGAAAAGTGAGGTAGAAGCTGCAATAAGAGAAATGGCAGAAAACAAGTCTCCAGGAACAGATGATACTCCAATCAAACTGCTGCAATCCACATTGAAGAGTCAACACTAGTGCTAACCATCATACGTCAACAGATATGGAAAACAAAATGATGGCCAACAGATTGAAAATGATAAATATACATTCCCATCCACAAAAAAGGAGACACAAGAGACTGCAGAAACTATAGGGCCATAGCACCAATCTCCCACACAAGCAAAATTCTGCATAAAATTATGCAACATAGACTCCAACCATAGAAATCCCAAAAGCAGGGTTGAAGAAAGGAAGAGGCACTAGGGACCACACTGCAAACATATGATGGCTAATGGAGCACACCAAGGAATTCCAAAAGAAAATCAGCATGTGCTTTATAGACTACACAGCAAAGCCTTTGACTGCACAGATCATGAAAGGCTATGGAACGCCCTTAAAGACATGGGAGTGCCAACACATCTGATAGTCCTGATGAGGAATCTCTACACAGGGCAAGAGGCTACTGTTAGGAGAGAACACAGAGAAACAGAATGGTTCCCAACTGGCAAAGGGTCAGACTCTTTGATAAATATCTGAGATATACTAATGATACCATAATACTAGCAGAAAACCTCACAGACCTGGAACAACTACTAAGGAAATTTAAAGAAGAAAGTGCAAAGGCAGGCTTACTGTTTAACGTAAAGAAAACAAAAATAATGACCATGGGAACTTACACATATTCAAACTAGACAATGAGGAAATAGAAATAATAAAAGAGTTCTCATATCTGGGATCAAAGATTGGGGAAATGGGGACTGCAGCCAGGAAATCAGAAGATTAAGACTGGGGAGGGCAGCTGTGAAAGAACTAGAAAAGATCCTAAAATGCAAAAATATATAACTCAGCACAAAAGTTAGAATCATACAAGTCTATATTCCCCATCACCATATATAGATGTGAGAACTGGACAGTTAGGAAAGAAGATCAGAAGAAAATCAATGAATTTGAGATGTGGTGCTGGAGAAGAGTGCTGATGGACAGCCAAAAAGAAAACAAATGGGTTCTAGAGCAAATCAAGTCTGAACTCTCCCTGGAAGCCAAGATAACAAAACCTAGGCTGGCATACTTTGGGCACATCATGAGAAGGCATGAATCATTGGGAAAAACAATAATGTAAGAAAAGGTGGAAGGAAGTAGAAAGAAAAGAAGGCTGCATGCTAGGTTGATGGACTTTATTAAAGAGATGACAAGTATCAGTTTGTATGATTTGGGCAGAGCATTGGAGAATGGGTGTCTTGGAGATGTCCCATCAGCAGTCACCATGGGTCAAGGTCGACGCGAAGGCAGTTAACAACAACAAAGTGAAAAGCCAAGAAAATACCCAAAGAGCTACATGTTTGCTAACCTAAATGGATCATTTCAGGGGAGAGGTAGAAATGACATTGACTTGTCAGGATCAAAGCCCTAGTGTTTCTTAGAATGATCCAGCATTGGGTCTCTTATCCACACTAGCTGAAGTTGCAGTTTTCTCTCCTCTTATTTAACGCTATACAGGCAGAGATGGGGAAGGGGATGTAGTGATGCATCCATTGCTTCACAATTCTCCCTGACCCCACTTGGGATTGTACTGTAGGTAATTATCTTTTTGGTTAGTTAGACTATAAAAGTTCACCTTGGCACCTTGCACCATACAGTGAAGAGCCTAATGCCTGCTAGTAATGAACCATTTTATTCGTTACATCATAACATAAAACCAGAATGCCATCAAAGAAGGACTACTAAGGCTCCAG